CCTTCGAACCTCAGACAGTGTCAGGCATTTTGGTTTCTATTAGCCGTGGAAGAAGGTTCAAGTGTTTACCTTCCTGGGCCAGGTCTCCAATGTTAATATAGGTCAGCCCTGTCTGCTGGGCTAGCTCCTTTCCTAAGGTGGTCTTTCCAACTCCAGGAGTTCCTGTGGATTATAGAATTCAAATTTGAGATAAGATTAGAATTCATTCAAAAATGTATACATTTAATGTCGCCATGTATGCAGCAGCCATGTTTGTGTAAACATGGTCCAGAGTTTTACTTCCTCTGGGTGTGCAGTCTGTTGTTTGCTAATGGCCGCATGAAGTTCATCCAAACTTAGCATTAACGTCTGGGGCGATATAAGTTGCAATTATTATAGAGGAAGTGAACTCCCTGGGGAGAGAAAAGGGTCTACACTTAATCATAAGAAATTCCAGGTTAGCTGAGAAGTGGCTCTCAGTGATGAGAGAGTTCGTACACCGAGCTTCAGGCTGTTAAGCAGTAGAAATGACTCCAATAAAGAGGTGGAATGTTGTCTTGCACTGTCCAGGTCTGAAGGCAGATTTCAACCAAATGGCACTACTGTCGCACTACTGTCCCTGGTGGGGTGCATGGTGGATAACATGCAGTATAATGATAAGCCTCTGCATCACACAGCGCTGTCGTAAAAGGGCAGAGAACATAATCAGGGATCCGTGCCACCCAGCTCACTCTCTGCTCAAACACAAAAACTGCACCTACAGCCTCAGGCACAACAAGGCGAACAGTATCATCACACACAGAACAAGACTTTACATCAGCTTTTTCCCTGCCGCAGTAAGACTGATGGCAAATACGAAAAAGTGAGAATATATGTGCAATATCCCCTTACTAGACATGCGCAATGAAAGTCACTTTTGGCTTTTCCCGTTTAGGGGTCGCCACAGCAAAATCATCACGCTGACGACTCGCATGTTGACATTTAGCACGTGTTTTACGCTTTTCTGCTCTCGCCGCTGCACCTTAACCACTAGCCTACCAGGGACGGCACTAGACATGCGCAATAATGATACAGAAATGTTCCACAAGGTAAGAGCATCTCATCAACAGTGTTCTCTTGGGGGACCTGAATAATAGCAGGACATTCTCCACCAAACAATGGAAACAGGCCTGAATATAAACTGTGTTTTAGTATGTTATAACCCCTCACTACCTCACCAAGCATAATGACATATCCAACTCCACCATGTGAATTACTAAGTGCGATGTTTGAAGTTCACTGAGAAAATACTATTACCCTATTTTTGTGTATTGTGGCTTTAACGCTTTGTTGCCTTTATGTAACTTTTTATTTTATGACTAAATGCTCTTTCTCGCTTTTGACTCTTTATCTGACTCCAAAGGAGAGCTGCACAAGAATTCCTACATGCCATGACTGTCTGTTTATGGATAAATGGCAAATAAAAATCTTGACTTGACTTGACTTGACATTGGGCCTCGTCAATGAGAGAGTGACCACTCTAATTGGCTGCTGAGCTTAAGGAATCAATGCATGAGAAGAAAAAAGGTTTGGGAAAGCCCCTTCAACTTGTCACTGTAGTATCCATGATTTCACCCATTTAGTGCAGTTTCTTGTTTTTCACCTCCACAATCTCCTTTCTTCTTCCACAACCAAAAAGACCAAGGGCAGAGAACCAAAGTGTCACTTGCAACTTCTAATAGAATATATGTCTGATAAGAAGCAGCTATAAACAGCAGCCGTTTTGAAGGAGAGCTGCTTTGTTTACAGCTTATATTTCTGCAGTCTAGCCCTTCTTCTTTCCCAAAGAATGGTGAACACAGCTACTGCCACCTACTGGTAGGGGTAGTTATTCCTGTCACACAGGTGTGGAATGTATGTGCCAGTTGGCTGTTAGCTGTAGCCTATGCGGTGTGTTCAAGTGCCACTTTTTCAGCTTGAGTGGCCCAGACAATGGCAATTTGAGGCAACGCAGCAGTCAGCCTTCATCGCTGCTAGTTCTTTCAAATCCGCTTGGTGTGTCTCTGCCCTTACAGTGGATATAAAAAGTCTACACACCCCTGTTAAAATGCCAGGTTTCTGTGATGTAAAAAAACGAGACCAAGATAAATAATTCCAGAACTTTAGCCACCTTTAATGTGACCTATAACTTGTACAACTCAATTGAAAACAAACTGAAATCTGTTTTTCAGTGGGAAGTAAAAATAAAAAACTAAAATAATGTGGTTGCATTAGTGTGCACACCCTTATACTAATATTTTGTTGAAGCACCTTTTGATTTTATTACAGCACTCAGTCTTTTTGGGTATGAGTTTATCAGCAATGCACATCTTGACTCTGCAATATTTGCCCACTCTTCTTTGCAAAAACGCTCCAAATCTGTCAGATTGCGAGGGCATCTCCTATGCACAGCCGTCTTCAGATCACCCCACAGATGTTCAATCGGATTCAAGTCCGGTCTCTGGCTGGGCCATTCTAAGACTTTTATCTTGTTCTGGTTAAGCCATTCCTTTGTTGATTTGGATGTATGCTTGGGGTCGTTGTCGTGCTGAAAGATGAAGTTCCTCTTCATCTTCAGCTTTCTAGCAGAAGCCTGAAGGTTTTGTGCCAATATTGACTGGTATGTGGAACTGTTCATAATTCCCTCCACCTTGACTAAGGCCCCAGTTCCAGCTGAAGAAAAACAACCCCAAAGCACGATGCTGCCACCACCATGCTTCACTGTGGGTATGGTGTTCTTTTGGTGATGTGCAGTGTTGTTTTTGCACCAAACATACCTTTTGGAATTATGGCCAAAAAGTTCAACCTTGGTTTCATCAGACCATAGCACCTTTTGCCACATGCCTTTGGGAGACATCAAATGTGTGTTTGCAAAACGTAACCGGGCATGGATATTTTTCTTTGTAAGAAAAGGCTTCTGTCTTGCCACTCTACCCCATAGCCCAGACAAATGAAGAATACGGGAGATTGTCGTCACATGTACTACACAACCAGTACTTGCCAGGAATTCCTGCAGCTCCTTTAATGTTGCTGTAGGCCTCTTGGCAGCCTCCCTGACCAGTTTTCTCCTTGTCTTTTCATCAATTTTGGAGGGACGTCCAGCTCTTGGTAATGTCACTGTTGCACCATATTTTCTCCACTTGATGATGACTGACTTCACTGTGTTCCATGGTATATCTAATGCCTTGGAAATTCTTTTGTACCCTTCTCCTGACTGATACCTTTTAACAATGAGATCCCTCTGATGCTTTGGAAGTTCTCTGCGGACCATGGCTTTTGCTGTAGGATGCGACTAGGAAAATGTCAGGAATAGCCTACTGGAACAGCTGAACTTTATATGGGGTTAATCAGAGGCACTTTAATTGATGGCAGGTGTACTGACTCCTATTTAACAAGAGTTTGAATGTGACTGCTTAATTCTGACAACAGTCACAGCCCCACAGTAAGAGGGTGTGCACACTAATGCAACCACATTATTTTAGTTTTTTATTTTTACTTCCCACTGAAAACAGATTTCAGTTTGTTTTCAATTGAGTTGTACAAGTTATAGGTCACATTAAAGGTGGCTAAAGTTCTGGAATTATTTATCTTGGTCTCGTTTTTTTACATCACAGAAACCTGGCATTTTAACAGGGGTGTGTAGACTTTTTATATCCACTGTATATGGGATTCATCAATGTAAGAATACAGGTATGAACAATTATGTGGTTTAAGAATAAGACTTTTATTAAAACCTTTCTGAAGAACAACCTAAGAACAAAAAAAAAAACTGGAAGATGCTGGTGATTGAGGCCCAATTTCCACCACATAGTTCATATATTATGTCATGCCAAGGATGTAATGCTGAACATAACCTGGTGTTATTCATGATTCTACTATAATCTGATTTGTGCCTAGAGTGGCTTCATGTTAAACAGTCATTTCTGATCTGAGGAGCAGCAGTAGTATGAAACCACATTTTATGATCTAAAATTACAGCCTTTGACAGCTGTTCCAAGAGCAAACATCTGGACTTATAGCCACTACATATCCTGTAATAGTTCCAGGGTGTAAATCACAGTTTATCATTAACTTACAGGGCAACGTTATACTGAAACACAATCACAATATCACTATGACTCCATGCCCTCACTAAAAACAACCCCCCTGTTCAGAACTATATGAGAGAGAGACAAAGCCCTAACTTTAATGTTATTTCGTGGCACCATAATGTGATTTCATTAGGTTTTATTTTACGAATAGTGGCATGCTGACTAAGCTGTCGCAGCTATCGTTAAATGAAAAGCAGCAGAAGTTTGTATCACCTGTTAGCAGAATGTTTGGACGCTTCCTCGTCGTCATAACTTGCTAACAGCCGACACGCGTCTTGAAGACGACCACCTGAAAGACAGAATAGTCTCGTTATGCTGCTCTATTCTATACAGGATATTTTATTTCTACGCTAAATGTATACAGACAAACCTGTAAAAGAGATATGCAACACAATAGAAGACAAGAGTAATTGACTAAATGTTTGCTTTAAAATCTGCTCGTGGTTGTACAGTATACGTATCCACTTTAGGAAGTGCCTTCTACAAACACTGCCGTACGCTGAGGCTTTGCGTCAGTTTTACGCCAGTTTTACGGCACTGCGAGTCCTCTGAGTTTAAATCATGTATGTAAATAGGTAAAACTTCACTTTGTTTCGTGGTCATACTTGTAATGTTACTCCAGCTTTTGATTCACAAATTAGTTCCCATTAAACCCAAGCAAGAGTTTGAAGTGACGGAAACACCGAAGTCTGCTTCTTGCACATTAAATGGTCCAACAAGGTAAGTTAATGCAGAGTTATCATATTAGCTTAACATGTATTATTTGATCCATCTCACCAAATACGATTGGAGTTAAACAACATTATCCTATCGCCTACACATGAAAAAGTAACGTTAATTTTATTAGGTGTTTGACACTTAAAAGTTTTTGGATATATTTTTGACGTGTGGGGATATCAGAATATACTTTTGGCAGCGCATATGAAAAATAAGCTAAATATAAGAAGCTAAATACAACATGAAATCGCAAATACTTCCTTTCTTTATATTGGAAGTTATACTGATGCTGAGAGATGATATCTGTTTCCTGTATTTTCTGCCTTGTGTTAGCCAGTTCAGACTGACAACCAGCAACGGTTCCCACTGCTCTTTAGGTTCCCAGTTCTCCACTGAACTGCTACGGCCAATGTCAAGCACCGCAGTGAAGGATGAACAAGCTTTCTTTAGGAGATAAAGCTGCTGCAAGCAGAGTAAGTTCTTTGACAGGCCTATAAGATTAT